AAATATATGTTAATAAATTTGGTAGTTAAGTAAAAGATTGATGTGATTCACCTAAAAAGTTTATTCCTAGAAATCAAGGCTATCTCAACATTAGGAAATGAATTCATACAATTGTACATATTAACAAATCACTTAGGAAAAAAATCCACAATCATTTGAATGGACAGAAAAGTCAACGTTCTTTTCTGATTGGTAAAACCTATAATAAAAGACAAATAGAAGTCTATATTTTTGACATGATAGAAGTAGTTGAAACATATCACAAAATTTAACTCCTCAATATATAAAGTGCTCTTAAAAAGCAACAAGAAATATATCCAGAAGAAAAATAATAGTAGAAGGCAAATCACCAGTCAAGTATCCTCAAAAAATTAAAAATGTTAAATTATTATTTATAGAAATGTAAGTGTAAGCTATGAAATAACTTTAAGCTATTACATTGGCAATGATTAAAATGCTATACTCAGTATTGGTGAGGTTGAAGTAAATGGGCTCTCTTATCTGACTAGGAGAGGTATATGTTAATAAAATAATTCAGGAAGGTAACTTTTTAATATATTAAAAATAATTAAAAGTACATTTATCCTTTGATCTACAAATTTGACATCTATAAGTTATAGCTAAAAAAACCACTTAAGATAAATGCTTACAAAATTTAGCAACCAGAAAACATTACATTTTATAATGGAAAAATAGAAATAAACCAAATGTCTAACAATAGAATAATAGATATGTCAATTATGATAAATTTTTATAATATACTCTTCAACCATCAGAATTAATGTTGCACATGAATACTTGTTCATATGGAAGATGTTTAAGATATATTAAGCGATAAAGCAAGGCTCAAAGTAATGTAACAGTATGATCTTGTTTTTGTTTAAATTATCTCTTTATCTATCATCTATCTATCTATTTACCTACCTACCTACCTACCTACCTATCTGAAAAGGACTAGAAGAATATTTGTTTTGATGTTAATGTTAATTACCACTGGTTGGTGTTTTTTTAAATTTTTACTATGATTATATATTATATATTCTTGTATATTATTGCATATTATTTTTCTTTTCAAACAATGTATTTCAGTTTCAAGAAAAAAAGCAAATGTTATTTTAAGGTAAAGTAAGTATATATGTTATCTCTTGTGTAAAGTATGAAAAAGGCTTGATATACTTTTTATAAGATCAATCCCACAATTCAATTAGAAAATGAACACAGTAGAAAAATGGGCTGTAGACAACTGCCATAGTAAAAACTGTTAATGACCTAAGAACAAGAAAAATTCAACCTGATTAGTATTTAAAAAATAGAATTAAAAAGAGATTATCTTTTCTATAACCAAAGAGACAAAAGATTTCTAAAAAACAGAAAATTAATTCTCTATGAAAGCAAATGTTTAGGGCTATGAGATCTCTTGTACAATGTAGAAATGGGAGTAAGATTTCTACAGAATAGGAAACCACATAACCAAAGTGTTAATGTTGTGCATGCCATTTGGTCTAGACATTTCCTTTCTCTGAATTTGCATAAAAAGAAATGTGGACATGCACAAATAAGGATGTTAATTACAGCATTTTTTATAATGATGAAAATTGGAAAAAACCTAAATGTTAAAAAATACAAGATAGATTAGCCAAATTACAGTATATGAATAAAATAGAATATTATTCTGAAATTAAATTGGATTTTTAGAAGAATATTTAATGATGTGTAAGAGGTTCATAATATTACTGTAAAATGAAAAGAAAGTGTTCTTTTTCTCCTCCCCCACAATACCAGAGAATATGTTTTTGGGTGTCATATGCAAAATACTCTAGCATCTTACCATGTTTGGTATTTGACCACTAAAAATGACTGCTGGTGCCTTACCGATGTCTGTCCTGGCACTTGGTAACAGTGACGCTGTGAGTGTCTCTCTTTTGTCTACCTTTTTGAATTCATATAATGATTCTACTCTGAATCTTTATGTAAAAAATACAATATTGGTGAATAATGCATCTATATTCCTGTGATCCAGAACATTAGATCAAGCACTTAGGGAATAAGTTAGTGATCTTAACTTGAAAATGCAGTTAGAACTTGTGAAAAAATAAATATGTTATCTATTAAATGTTTTGATTAAATTAAATGATAATGCTGAAGTACACTTTTTTGCTATTCATTAAAAAGAGTTAGGAAGGGTTGGAGGTGGTAGCTCATGCCTGTAGAACTTTGGGAGGCTAAAGCGGGTGATCACGAGGTCAGGAGATCGAGACCAGCCTGACCAACATGGTGAAACCTTGTCTCTACTAAAAATGCAAAAAATTAGCTGGGTGTGGTGGCACATGCCTGTAGTTCCAGCTACTTGGGAGGCTGAGGCAGGAGAATCACTTGAACCTGGGAGGTGGAGATGGCAGTGAGCTCAGATTGTGCCACTGCACTCCAGCCTGGGTGACAGAGGGAGACTCTGTCTCAAAAAAAAAAAAAAAAAAAGAAGACTTAGTAAGTTAAGAGGATAAAAAGTATAGTGTGTGTTTGAAACTACATGCAAATTACAAATCACCTCCACATAGTTACTGAGGTTCAATTATTGCTTCTATAATGTACAGAGGCTCCACAGTGTGGTGGTTGAGAATTTGGCTTTTTTTGGTCAAAAAGTAGGCTCTATTGCTGTGTGCGCTTGTGCTGGTTGCACAATCTCTCTGTGACTGTTTCCTCACTTAAAAAAATGTGTATAATGATAATACCAACATTACAGGGATGTTGCAAGGTTTACATTCATATGTTTAAAGCCCTCAGAATATATATGGTAAGATTTCAGTAAATGCTAGCTGATATTATAATTCTTATGATTATTTGTTTCTACATTTTCTGTCAGCCTGACTTCTATGTCTGTCTTTTACAACGAAACTTTATCAGCGGAGAAAGCCCAAAGCTGTCTTTGAATTTTGCAGAGCATATGTGCACCATCTAAAATAAGCCATGGATAGCTACGCTAAAGTTCTAGACTTGCTGGTGGCCCTCTCCAGCTTTTCTGCTTTGTTGGCATCTTGACTTTCTGTTTTGGACACACGCTGCAACTTTGTTCTTCATTAAATTCTTTGGAGGACAGTATCAGTTTTGGACTTAGAATCGTGACTTTTAGCTGAAGCACTTCTCTAGGTCTCAGTCCTAAATTCTGACCGCACTGTTTATGAATCAGAACTGTGAATAATGACCGCCTTATTGTCGTTGTAGCCTATGGAATCTGCTCAGGCCTGAAATGAGGGGAAGTCCAGATAATAGACAAGTGGGAAATGGTAGAGCTTGAGTCATTGGCTCTTAGGTGGAAGGGAAGAGGATGGCAGCAGGAGGATGTTAGCAAGTGAAACTAATAGAATATTGATGAAAGAGAGGGCAAACTCTAGGACAATTTCTACATTTTTGGAAGAGACTACATTTTGCCTGGAGAGACTGAGTAAGAAATGGCAGGTTTCCCACTAAAGATGTCAAGTTGTTACATGAGGCAGATTTGGGGATTTCAGGCAGAGTTTTCCAGCAGACGGTGAAAATCTACTTTCAAGAATTCACACCGTTTCTCCATTGCCCTAACTACCAATTAGTTTGAATTAAGATAAGCTGGTATAGAGCAGACTGTTATTTTCTCTTCCCTGTCTGTTTTTCAGGAGAATTTGGGTTCATGCTATATCAGAAATAAACCGAGATCATGCATGAATTTCAATAAAGATGTATTGTGTGAGAGTCCACTGAGAAATCTGAACCTCCGGGAATCTGAGTTCCAGAGCTTTTTTTTTTTTTTTAAATCATGAAATGCAACAAAATCAGTTAGCATGTCATGCAGAACGTTGTTAAGCAGAGCTATATTAATTCTACAGCCAACTGAATTGGTTTCTAAAAGGTATAAGATATCAGAATGCACAAAAATATCAGTCTTGAAATAACTCAGAGCCACAAGTGTATCTCGTGAAATCCCATATTATAAGCTGGTTTAAGAGATTTAAATAGACTCTATTAATAATATTAATGTGAGAATTTTGAAATGTGTGGCTTTGAAGGCAAAAACAGAAGAAAATACTAATACTTTGCAAAAGGCATACACATATCAATCTATGATGTTATTTAAAATGTTATTGTTTCTGCCAGGGTGTTTATTATATGAATGAACTAAAAGGAAAAAACTAGCTAAATAACTAAAAAAGGACAGAAGTCCTGGAAAGAAGAAGAAATAAAAACTAAAGCAGTGAAAAATATACCAATACAATTTTTAAAGGGAAAGGTAAATCAGTAAGATACAAAAACTTGTTTCAAGAAAACTGGAGAAATAAAATAAGCAGATTTAATTCAGGACAAGTACATAGAGAGGAAAACTTTTAAAGGAGGGGTACAGGACAGAAAAGGTGATTCAAAGTCACAGCCCTGCTGATTTTCTGTTTAATTCCTTAGAAATCCTCTATCAATAAAATATAACCACAACTCTGCAGAATACAAACAAATATAAAATTATGCATTAAAAGCAAGAAAGATTTAATGAAACACTAAGACTTGTCTTTGGGTGGAGAGAGAATGAATGGCTTTTCCTTTTTTTAAGTTTTCTGTATTTCACCTGAGTGTCTTAGATGAAGATTAAGCTACTTTCCCAATGGACAGGAATTAACTCTCACTACACACTGGGGTCAGTTGGGGGGAAATAGGGGAGGGACGGTGGGGGGTGGGAAGCTGGGGAGGGATAGCAGGGGGAGAAATGCCAGATGTAGGTGATGGGGAGGAAGGCAGCAAATCACACTGCCACGTGTGTTCCTATGCAACAATTTTGCATGTTCTTCACATGTACCCCAAAACCTAAAATGCAATAAAATAAATAAATGGGAAAAAAAAATGAAGCTCTGAATCCCATTTTCATATGAAAATTTAATACAGCAGAGCTTTACTCTGTGACCAGCTAATTTGGAAACTGAACAGGATGACATTCTTCCCTGTGCAGTGTGTATTACAAACCTTCATGAAGAAGAATAGTTGTCTCCATTATCTGACACATTTCCTAGCCTGTGTTTCCAATCACTGACTTTCAATGGGTCCGTCTACCACACAGGTTTTGCACTGTCTTTGCTCTTCCTGGGAAACACACAACAGGGTACTCATCTCTACTCTTACTTTTTCCTATGTGGGTCTTGTTGGGCCTCTGGTGTAGGATTCCCCTGGCTCACAGAGTCTGAGAGGAAACTGCAGCATTTTATTTGAACACCTTCAACCTTAGACACTCACAGTTCCCTCTGCCCTCTCACACATGCGTTCCAGAATTCGGTGAATACTGGCGAAACTGGGTCTGTCTGCAGGCAGCTTGCTCCAACACAGACGCATTAGATTGTACAGCTCCATGGGGCAGTTCTCAGGGCAGGAGAGGATGTTGCCATCTCGCACGTAGTAAATGACCTCCTCATGGGCCATCCCATAGTAGGGCTGCAGGCCATAGGAGAAGATCTCCCAAAGGACAACACCATAGGCCCACACATCAGACTCTGTAGTATAGCGGTTATAAAAAATGGACTCTGGCGGCATCCAACGGATAGGGATAGCATCGTTTTCATTAGCTTTGTAGTAGTCTGCTGAGTAGATGTTTCTGGAGAGGCCAAAGTCAGCAATTTTCACCACCATGTTCTCACCCACCAGGCAGTTCCTGGTGGCTAAATCTCGGTGAACAAACTTACGTTCTGAGAGGTAAGCCATGCCAGCGGCCACCTGCCTGGCAATGCAAAGCTGCTCAGCACAGGAGAGGGGTGGGGGTCCAGGACTGGAGACCCGAGCCCTCATAGACAAGTCACTGTGGCTGAGGCTGCACACGGTGTGAGGGGACATGCTGCGGAGGAACTCATTGAGGTCTCCATAGGCCATGTATTCAAAGAGCAGGCACATCGGCTTCCCGACAGCACACACGCCTGGAACCAAAAGACCATCCTCTGTTAGTCTCGGTTTCTACAATGACACAGTGGAAAGAGCACTCCAAAAGCAAGTGACCAGGTCAGAACATATGAAGCCCTGTTTTTTTTTGTTGTTGTTGTTGTCAGTTTTTCTTTTCCTTCTTTTTTTTTTTTACATTTATATCCGTTTATCCACAACACAAAAGGAATCTCAGCTAGGAAATGCACTCAGGGTAGTGAGGTTTCTGTCCCTTGGCTGAAGTTTTTGAGGACTTCCAGCACAGTGCTGTTGTCCTGGGCACTTGTCATAAGTACATCATACCTGGTGAGTCAAGTACATGGTGCATATAAGTACGTGGTGTATCAATTTTTTGGAGCGACTCTTCTCTCTGAAATCTGGAGACCCTGGTTTTTGGTTGACACACCCTAGTTGAACCCTGACCCTGATTCTCTGCCTAAATATCTCCTATTTGCCTTTAAGAGTCAGTTTATTTATCATTCTCCCTAGGGTGCCTCAGCTCCTGACCCTTCCAGTAACTGTTTGATTTTCCTACCATCATTCTTTAACAGAGGACTTACCATCCTATTTTATAATCATTTGACTATTTCAGGGGGCTTCTCCTCAACATTTTAATACTTTGAAAGGAGAGATTGCACCTTATTCTTCTTTAAAAATTCCCCACACCTGCCACGTGTCTGGCAGAGCAGATACCTCATAATGTTTGGTGACTTAATTTATGAATGGATGCTTGCTCCTAGTGTGTGATGTCATTGCCGTCTGTTTCTGTTTACTTCTCTGAAGCATGTTAGTAAGAAAGATGTATGAAGTTTGGAAAGAATAATAAAAACAATTCAAGTGTCTTAGATGAAATATTTAAATTGCTACAGTAAAACATTTTGAAATTTGGGTTTTACAATATTCATGCTACCAAAATGTTAATATAAATACAGTCTTAGAATTAAAGCCAGAAGATCATTTTCAAATATTAAAGTCTTGACATATTTGAGAGGGAAACTGGAAAACTTGGAATATTAGGTAAGATGGGCACAAGTTCACATCACCTTAAAAACAGATTATTAAGTCTACTAGGTTTTTTTTAGGCAAAAGTTAAAACTATCTGTTTGAAAAAGAGGGGAAATGAGGAATACTGCTATCTTGGCTTATTTACTTTGGCATTATTTTTTTAAATCCAAGGACTTTAGCAATTAGCACATTTCTATATACTAAAGAGAAAAAATAAAGAAATGCCAACTGGGTAATACCTAGAAATTTCTTCTATAGGAACCTTTTTGGGTAATCTTTAGTTAACGGGGACTTACCTGTTATCTCAACAATTGGTTTTACCATTGTTATGCTGGTTGAATTGATTTAAAAATAATTTCTTATTACTAGAAAAAATGACAAAATATTTCTCTGAGAAATAAAAAAAATTTTGAACTAAGTTTATTTAAGGGAATTTTCCATTTTTTGAGAAAGAAAATATAAAAGATTTCTACTTCATGAGTATGAACAATTAAATATATATGTATAAACACATACTTTACAATTATATATGTACATACATTTAAGACCTTGAAATGTTTTCTATATTGTAATTACTTGAACCCAACTCTTAGTTGAGACTTCAAAATGGAATAATGATTAAGAGGAAGACTGTGTTTTCTTCACCCTTAGAAACTCAGGCCTAGTACTATACATGGCTCACTATGGGTTTTTAATACATGTTGATGGATGGATGAATAAATTAATGAATAGATGGATGCATGGATAGATTTAAGGATGGATGGGTAGATGAATGGGCATAAAAGAAAACCTCATGTATAGCCCAAGCCATGTCTTTAAACTTTAGCATGACATTTTCAATGACTAGTCTCACCTGATTGTTCTACTATTTGCTCTACTTTCAGAATATTCCATAACAGTCTACAATATTTAATGCCTATTCCCATTCTAAGATTCTGCATATTTCTTTAATTATACCATTTTTCCCAATTTGTGACTATGAAACTATTATATACTAGAATTTCAATAAAAGGGAATCAATTTTTAAGATACAAACATGTTCAGTAAGTGGCTGATATTTCAAATGTATAAAACAAAGTAGATTTATTGATAGAAGTGAATTTTATGGATTTTTCCCAGTTCTCCTTTCTTCCACTGTTGTCATCTTATTTCATTGGGATTAGCTTCCAAGAAACTATCAGAGTAGTGGGATGAATGATTACTGCTTATGTATACTTGATAAAAAATAGAACCTGTGTTCATTGGATATTGAAATGGAATTTAGATATAGCATTTAACAAATGGCAACATTAGTTTGAATTCTTGTTGGACAATAAAAATGAGAGAAAACTCCAAGTAGTGATGTATAAGCATGCTACTGCAGTAATCATAAATTTGAAAATTGTACATAGTTTGTGTATGAATCAATCTCAGGAATTCAGGATGTTGTAAACTGTATATGAATGCAGAGTCAACATTTTAAGAAAAGTTGAAATAGAAATTGCCTGATAATCTTGAAAATATACATGTATATATGTTTGTTTAATGAATAAATATATACTATTTGAGAAATTAAATAAGAAGCGTGGAAGGGCAGAAGCCAGATTCAGATTTTTGTGTGAAGAATGACTACATAAATGTTTAGGAGTTGAGGAAATGGAAGAAGTATTTTCAAGATGAATTGTTATATACTGAATATCTTTTACTCATTTATTGAACAAATATTTATAGAGCGCCTACAATGTGCCAGAAGCTGTTTGAGATACTACTATAGAAATTCTTAATTTTAATATTTATCTAGATTACTTCCAATATCTTGACCACTAAGTTACTTTATGTCCTTTCCTTAGACCTCTGCCCAACTTCAGCTACTCACTCTCATTGTCATACTCCTGACTTTGTCATTCCATATATTTGTAAACCTCCCATAATCCCATTTTCAGTCACTCTTTTGTTGTTCACCACTTCCTCCCTTTTTCACCCTAGTTCGCTGCCTCTACTGCCCTAACTCTAAAAATCCTTTGCCCCACTGAAACTTTTAATCCATTTTTCCTACCCTCTTTTAACGATCCCTCACTTTCTTCATGTTTTTAACTTCCTTCCTTACACAGCTGAAGTTCCTTGATCAATCATAATAATCACTCCTTTGTATGCACCCCTCTTCTTCGCCTCAATTTGACTTCAATTTACTTGTGTGGCAAAATGTTAATTCTGATTAAATTCAATTCTCATTAATGGGTGATTCTCATGATTAATGATTAATTCTGATTAATGGGTGATTCTGATTAATGGGCGATTCTGATTAAATTCAATTCCTCATTAATCGGTGCCCATCTGGTGGCATTTGGATGAATACACAACCATGCTGACCAGTCTCATGTGAAATGTGTACTCCCTAATTTCAAGTAGACTTTTGATGTTCTGGCTAATCGTATTATACTTTTCTAGTCCATTTTCTATTTTATGTAAAAATGGGTTTTCCTAGATGAGGATTTATTTGTTCTCGTCCCTCAAATCTTCAACTTTTCTCCCATTCCTCATTCTCAGATGAGATCTTAACTCCTACTTCACAGAGAAAACTAAATCAGAAGAGAACAATCTCCAGCCAATACTCGCTTATTACTATTGTTGATCTGAACATTCCCATAACAAAGGCCAATCCATCCAGTAGTGCCAAGATTCCATCCCCTCTCGCTGTTCAAACATGGTGCTTCCACTATTTGCCAACTCTAGCATGAATTTTTTTCTTTACTGGATTATTGTCATTGATATAAAAATGTGCTGTTAGTTTCACATGAAGGAAAGTATGCTGTTTTCTGTCCCCTTCAGCTCTATCCATGTTTCTTGGTTTACCTTTATAGCAAAACAAGTTGTTTATACTTTTTCTCCAAACTTTCTCTTCCTCTTTTGAGCTCACTTACATTTTTTCTTGCCCTCAACATTCCTCTCTTCTTAGGGTTGCCAGTGAACCTCCATGTTTAAAAATTCAAGGTCACTTTATTGTTCTGCTCTCACTAGACTTATTGCATATGACATGCATACTTTCACCTATTTAAAATACTTTATTTGACTTTCAGGACACCATACTCTCTTGATTTACTTCTATGTCATTGGTTGTTTGTTTTTAGTTTGTTTTTCTTGTTCATCTCCTCTTTCTTACCCTAAATGCTGGAATGCTCAGGCCTTAGTCCTTGGACCTCTTCTCTGTTCTGGCTTTCTTTTTCCATGCTTAGCTGTCTTGCCCAACCTAATGGCTTTAAATACACTGCTTTAAAACTCTATATACCGCAATAGCCTTAGATTCATGTCTAATCAGATCATCCTATCTGAACTCTAAGCCTCCATATCTATTTGCCTCCTTAACTTCAGGTAGATGTTGAATAAGCATCCCCTAAAATGACATCTTTTTTTTTTTTTTTTTTTGAGATGGAGTCTTGCTCTGTCTGGCTGGAGTGCAATGGCACAATCTTGGCTCACTGCAACCTTCTCCTCCTGGGTTGAAGCAATTCTCCTGCCTCAGTCTCCCAAGCTGCTGGGATTACAAGCATGTGCTACCACACCCGGCTATTTTTTGTGTTTTTAGTAGAGACAGGGTTTCACCATGTTTGCCAGACTGGTCTCGAACTCCTGACCTCAGGTGATCTGCCCGCCTTGGTCTCGCAAAGTGCTGGGATTACAGGTGTGAGCCATCGTGCCCAGCCAAAAAACATGTCTTTAAATGAATTACTACTCTCTCCACTAAAGAAACCTATTCCTCCTGAGTGTTCCTCAACTGAGCCAAAGGCACCTCCATTCACTCATCTGTACAGCCAAATACCTCAATACTATCTTGGACTTTTCTCTTTTTTGCACATCTTATATTTGATTGGTCAGCAGATTATTTGGCTCTACCTTCAAATTCCACATGGAAGAGAATCACTTCTCATGATCCTCACTACCACCACCTGGTCCATGCCACCATATTCTCTTGCTGCATCATTGTAATACCTATTTACTGTCTCCCTGATTCTATTGCTTCCCTTCAGGCAATGCTCAAGAAAGCAGACAGAGAAGATGTGAAAAATGTGAGGTCATGTCGTGTCATGTCTTGCCTGAAACTCTCCATTTGTTTCCCATCTTAGATTAAAAGCCAATGTTTTAAATAAGGACTGACAGGGTCTGCCCACCTCCCCCATTACTTCTCTGATCTCATCTATGATAATTCTCTCCATCTTTCACTCTGCTCCAGCACACTCATCTCCTTACTATTCCTCAAGCATGCCACATCTGCTCTTGCCACAGTACCTTTGCAAATGCTTCTAATTCTTTTTGGAATGTTCTTTTCCAAGATACCCACACTGTTATTACCTTGCCTCTGCCAGGTCTTTATATAAATGTAACATTTTCACTGAAGTCTTCAAACATTGTAGCTCATATTCGAAAAGCTTCCCTGCTTTAACATTTAAAAAAGTCTTTGGAACTTAATATCCAGCATCCCATGTTTTTGGGTTTATTTTTATTATCTATCTCCTCCAATAGAGTGAATGTATGCTTCACGAGAGCACAGATTTTTTTTCTTTCTTTTTTTGAGACAGAGTCTCACTCTGTCACCCAGGCTGAAGTGCAGTGGTACAATCTTGGCTCACTGCAACCTCCACCTCCTGGGTTCAAGCGATTCTCGAGCCTCGGCCTCCTGAGTAGCTGGGATGTTATAGGCATACACCACCATGCCCGGCTAATTTTTCTATTTTTGGTAGAGACGGGGTTTCACCATATTCGTCAGGCTGGTGTCAAACTCCTGACCTCAAGTGATCCACCTGCCTTGGCCTCCCAAGGTGCTGGGATTATAGGTGTGAGCCACCACTCCCAGCTGAAAGCACAGATTTTTGAAAGTTTTATTCATTGCTGTATAATTACTACAAACTAAATATTTGTAAAACTTTATGTTAAGTTTGTGAATCTGGGAATAGATTGGAACTCAACAATGAACAGAAAAGATACAAATCACTGCTCATGACATTGTAGTTAGGGAAGAAAGAGGAGACACAAACAAGTAAAATATATAGACTCTTCAATATTGACAATTTTGTGATGGAGAAGCAGTATTCATTTTTTACAATGGGGACATTTTAAACACTTTTATAAATAGTAAGGAGGCAGCAAAGACAGAGATAAATTGAAGTGGTGAAATTAAAGAGGGATAATCCATTAAGTCATGAACATCTTACAGGGTTGGGATAGACCTAGGTGAAGAAGCTAACTTTGAAAAGCAACAGAAACACCTCACTGATCAAGGAGAAAAGGAAAAAGCATAAGTAAGGGAAGAAGAACTTGGAAAGCCTGTTTTTTTCTGATGAAATACATATCTCACTTGTATTTTCATACCTAAGAGTTTCACAATGTTAGGATTGTCAAATTCTGCCATGAGGGCTGCCTCCCTCTGAAAGTCCGCTTGCATATCTGCTGAGGCTTCTTCTTTGAGCATCTTTACCGCCACCATAGTGAAAGGTTCATGGGGAAGTAAGCCTGGTGCCCTGAGAGATACATTTATTGAGAAAGAAACCAAAGATCATGGACATCATACACACCCCTATTATAGCTACCCACATTTATACATATTCTCCCACCTCCCATGTGTAAAAGGCTGGTTGAGGCTCATGCAGGCTTTCCCAGAGCCACATAATCAAAGAAAGACAACATACTGAAAACTCCTTGATGTCAGCTAATAAAAATCACTGGTATTATTTTTAACAATTTCAAACAATGAAGTTTGAAAGATGCATTATTTACAAATTACAAGAATTCTAAAGTATACACACCGAATAGGATTATCATTGCCATCCTTAACCTTTTAATCTTTGTGCAGAATCTAAATTCCCTGAAGCAGGAACCATGACTTACTCATCTTTATACCCACCATTGAGCCTAAAGTGGTGCCTTGCAAATTTTGGTTTCTAATACATATTTGTGTGAGATTTTCATTATTCATGTAACCTCTACACTGGGGCCATCATGAGTAGAGATTGAGTTGTGTCTTGCCCCAGAACACCAGGCCAAAGTGACAGTTGGAGATTAAAACCATTCATCTTCTCTGGCCCAGCTGTGTGTCTGTGGAGTCACATCCATGCAGCAGAGAGGGTATTTTATTCCAATTCACACAAAGGTGATAAATAGGCTAATATTGGCCCTAAACCATACTCCTTTCTTGAGCTCATTGTTTTGCAAATTTTTGCCTTTTTATTCCTTTTCTGTTTGTCATGAACATCTACTTATTATCTATACATTATATTGTAAGGAGTTATTATTTAAAACAATGTAAGAAATTATGATTAAAATATATGATAAATTCTTTTCTGAAAAGGAAATACGATTGAATTATATTACTAATTTCTTATAATTTGAAAGCTATAGAAATGAAGATACATTTAGATCTCTCATAAATATATGTATCAAGCTAATAATAGTTTGGTAGCTTTTCAGACATAACATATTTCCGTGGAGGTTTTTTCCATAGGTAACTTTACCTTGCTTGAAACACCCTTCCAAACGCTCCCTCTCCGATGTCTCTCACGTATTCAATGTTATTCCTTGGATACTCCAGGCTGAGCAATTTAGGGTTCAGAAGGAGCGGCATCCTCTGGTACATGGGGTTGGGATGAAGTCTATCTAGCAAGAGCTCAGAAGGCAGTGTAGTGAGGGTTACTGCTGCTGATTCTCTGTGGCAAGACAGGCAAGATCAGGAATGAGCTCAGGAGCAGGTAAGATCTTTGTACTTAGAGTCTAAGAAACATGGCATTTAAGAGTAATGAAAACAGATTATACTAGGGCAGCCAAAGATCCTTGTTTGAGAGCAATAAAATATTTTGTTTGGTCTAGAGTCAAAAGGCACATTTTCTCACAAATGTTTAGCTATCCAAGTCAGTAGTGGCAATGGGCCTGAGAGGGAAGACAAGGACAGGAATAGCCATTTTCCTTCAAATTATTGTTTAGATTTTACCTGTTGTGAAATAGTAACCTTAGGGCATTTGATTCTGTGCCAAAAAGTCATTAACATTTGTAAGGATTACGATGGGGGTGCTTAATTTTAAAGCAGGGCTATGGATGTATTAAGAGAGTTGCAGTGTCATACATATTCCTCACACCATACCAACTCCATATTAAACAAGAGGTTTTAAAATACTACTACACATGGTTAGCTGTGTAGTAGAATCTCACCTTTTCTTATTTTTCCATTGTTTTCTTCTTCGGCAGCAATAGAGAGTAGTTATGGTAAGAAGCACAAATATTGCAAAGCTGGACATGATGGAGATTATTACAGTCATGGAGTATGTAGGTGAGACAGAGAAGGAAGAAGAGGAGGAGGAAGGCAAATTTGGAATGTCCACACTTGGCTTTGAGGATGTCATTGGTGGGAATGCTGTAAGTAAACAATAATTATTTCATTCATTTTCAAACCTTTAAGAAGCATTTTTTTTGTATTCAAGCAATCAGTAAAATAAATTTCATTGTAAGAATATATTTATGTATCAGGTTCTCCCTGGTTATATATCTATAAAGTCCAGTAAGGTCTAGTTGTAAATAAATCCAGCTTATAGAATAATATAATTTTAAAGATGAGACTCAGAGAAAGAAAATAGGTTTTTTTTCTTTTCTGAGATAAATGCAGATCTTGGGCTAGTGCCATTAATACTGAATCATAATATCTATGATTTGACATAAATCATGGAAATTATTACATAAAACATTTTCTCATAATTACACTTGACATCAGGATTGTCTAGAGCTGAACTTTTATACACATTTACTGTCAGTTTACAAACAGAATAAAAATCATAAAAGATGAGAAATGAAACTATTAGGACACAAATGAGAAGTTAATTTATCTAAAAACTGAACTGTCAAACTTCAATTGAAAAGGCCAATGTGATATGTATACAAGTAAAATCAGCATTACTGTTGAAAACCAAAATATGCCATACTCATACCACTATTTGTAGAGTACAAAGTCCATTGTATATGTATCAAAACAACCTTATTAATTATGTTTTAAATCCTCTTAACAGATTGAGTAAAGACAAAAACAGAGATACAGAGTATTTTAAAACAATCAACAACGTTTTAATAGCTAAGAAAAAACTTTGTACTCAAAAATAGAGAATAAACCTTCTTTTCGAATATTTGTGGAATGCTGACAGACAAGATTTTGTCAGGCCACAAAGATAAATCTCAATAAATTTTAAAAGCAGAAATTATGCATATCTACTTATTGGCCAAAGTACAATTAATAGTAGATTAAATAAAATCAAATGGGACACTTTTAAAAATAAAAAAAAATCAATGACTTTTTGATAAAAAGTCAAAAAACCATAGTTAGGTTTAGACTAAAGCCTCTTAATTAGTGTGTATTGTATTTAGCCAAAGTTGTGCTAAAAAAATAAAGACATAGTGTTATCTCCTTCCATTAGATAAAAAGAATGAAAGTGAATGAACTGAACGTTTAACTCAAGACTTTGGATAGAAAACAATAACACAGAAAACAAAGATAATAGGTAATAAAGTAACAGCCATACACAAGAAGAAATTAATGTTAGAATACAAATAACACAAATGATAAAATTAAAAGACCAATAGTTGGTTTTATAAATATTCATAATGTAGTCTAATCAATAGAATTTTAATTAAAAAGATAGGAAAGGTACAAAAAGAAAATTAGAGATGATAAATAAGTTATAACAGATTCAAAGTTAACAAAAATAAAATGATATGTAATTACATTTTTTATACCTTAAGGAAAATGATAGGAACATATTAATAATCAAATTTGAAGAATTAGAAAATATAAATATTTCCATAGGCAGGAAGCTAGTTTTTCAAGTCATCACATTATAAAATACATTCTTTTAGTCTTGAAAGAGGTAAAATTTCTATATTTTATAAAAGTTCCAGTAAGAGAAAAATCTTTCAAATTACTTTAGAAATTATTATAATACTAACATCACAACCTGGCAATGTTAGCACAGAAGAAAAGTGCGTACATAGATTATACAGCATAGGTTTAGAAGATCCTAAATGAAATATTAGCAACTGACTATATCATCGTCAGAGAATAATGATTTAATATAAGGGAATATATTAATATAACACATCACAAGGTCAAAAGTAAACCTTTATTGCAGTAGATGCCTAAAGCCATTTGAAATAGGACACTTGCAAAATTGGAGGTTACAAGAGATGCCCATGTATGACTTCTTAGTCTGGAAGTAGGCCCAGTGATTATGCCCTGAGTACCAATGGCTAAGCCAGTGATTTTGAAGCCTGTGGAGGCCAAGCCTGGTCACCACTGTGACTGAGGCAGGCACCTGGAACTGGAAGAACATCAGCACATCAGTAAAACATCTGTGCAAGGCCAGTGATAGCATGCCTCATCCAGCACCACAGGAGTAGTGGACTGAACAGACTGCCCAGGTTCCTCTCTGACTGACGTGAAAGTTAGTCTGATTCTCTTCGGACTGAATCATCCCAAGTTTTCTTAATCTAAGATGGATAGAGAGGGGGGCTTAAATTGAAGAGCTTTGCTTTCTGCTAATAATAAAACTGAAACAATTATTAAAAGATAGGGAGAAATAACTATTTTTGTATTTGGAGTTTACAGAGCAGTGCACACCATATATAACTCATGAAGGAATATAATGTAATGAGTAAAGTTGGTGGTATAATTTCATTGGTAAATATAAGGCTAATTTTTCTAAAAAGAATCAGAAAGTAGAATGTAATGGCATGTTTAAAGAAAAATCTATGATGATTTAGTGAGATTTCTTTTTAAAATGCAAAAAGTGACAGAGTTGGAATAATAATTTTGCTTTATAGATTTAAATGTTTCCTTCAAGATAGTTTTGTTTTGTTATTCCGTGATAACTGCTTCTGATTTGATCTGATCTTCCCTTGAGCTACATCAATGATCTCTTTGGATCTAAATGATGACTTTTGATCTTCATTCTTTTTCCTTTTTATCTTTTTTCTTCTCTCACCAATTTTCTCTCTTTATTCTTTTCCTCTGAACACTACAGGAGTTTATGCACTCATTCATCCATATGTAAGTGTATTCCCTAAATCAATATTGATTATTAGGTATCAAGAATAGTGTGGTGAAAATGACAAGTCTTTGCTTGTCACAAGAAACAAGTGAGTAAATGGAGAATTAAAACAAAATATAAGAAGCATTGTAAGAGTAGTAAGAACATGATGCTGCTGAGTGTTCAGGGATGGCACTAACTCAGGTTTAGACATACTGGGGAGGTTTTCTAGAGTGAGTAACTATAAGTTAAACATAAATGGTGAGTAGCCAGTAACCAATTGAAGGTTGTGATGATCCGAGTCTTTATATTTTCCCCCCAAATTCATATGTGGAAATGAATAAGGATGGAGTCCTGATGAATGGGATTAATGCCCTTATAGAGGTCCAAGAAAGCTCCCTTACCCCTCTGCCATGTGAGGACACAGGGAGAAGACAGCTATGTCTTGAGGAATGGGCCCTCACTCAAGAGTTCCTTACCCAGCTAACACACTTTTCAACTACCCAAGTAAAAGAAAACAATTTGATAATATACAAAGCTTCAGGGATTCTGTTTCTCAAGATGCTTTCCCTTCTGAGGAAATACATGAGGAGACTCTTAAGAACAATGGAATCAGAAAGTGACTTCAAGATAAATATAAATGGACTGTGATGGGTGGGTCTTGTCTAATTCGCTAGAGGAGACTCAGTATTGAGAATCACTCTGCAAAGGGAAACCTAAGAGTACTAGGGGAGGTAAGGAAGAATATCTGAGCATTCTGAGGTTCTCACTGGAAATTCTGAAAGTCCCATAGGGTGAGGAGAAATGAGGAACAAATATAGCACAGCAATGTGTAGAAAGAATCGGTGTCTGACTTTCACTTAGCAGTGGAGAAAACAAACAACAAGTAAAGAAAAGGAAAAAGAAGAAGCAAAAAGTAAAGTGAGTAACAAATGTACAGTTGAGATAGTAGGGGTAAAATAGAGTACATCAGTTGGTATATTAAATATGAACAGGCTAAATCCTCCTGTTAATAGAATATGGCTGTTAGATTAGAGTAAACCCAGGTATATGTTGTTTATAAGAAAAAAAATAAAAGAGGGACAAAGAGGTTCTAGGTTAATGTAAATACAAGGAAAGAATTTTCATTATTAATACTAGAAATTTAAAGCTAAAAGCACTAAAACAAGACAAGAGTGACATTTTACATTGGTAAAAGGCTTCATATAAGAAGAAGAAAGTGTCTTGGATCACTGTGCCTCTTAGAACAGTAAATAAACATATGAAGTACAAATTATAAATGCTAGAAAAATCTAATAAAAATAATTCTGAATTGATCTAGTAGAAATTTGATTAGAAAATCAACTAAATCAGTAAACTCATATGTGAGTTTAGAAGGGCTAAAATTTCATGAGATTATTATAAGGGCTATTAATTTCATAAGATTATTAGACAGCTAGCATGAATTTATGCTAATAAAAGAACAAGGCCTTATCACAGAAAATATGGTTGCATTGAAATTCTGATCAGATCATGTTCTGTGCATTGTGTTCAGTTCTGGGTATTCTCAAGCTTATGTGCACCCAGTAAAGAGTAAACATGGAGGTGAGGACTTTGGAAGTCAGTTGCAAAAGTTGAAAATTGGAGATATTTGATGTGAAGAAGAGAAGGCTATAGAGATTGAGTATTTATCTCCAAATATTTAAGGACTGTCATATAGAATATAAATAAATAAAATAAGTAGAGTGAAGATAAGTTGTTGAAAGTTCTAGAGAACTGGAATTTAGTTCTACATAGCTAAATTGTTTAATAACTAATATATTCTACAAAGGAATTAAGAAATAAATTCAGGTGGGAAAAGGGGATGTTTCTGTCAGAGATGCTCTGGAAGACGTTCTTTCATTGTCGGAGAGTTTGGATTAAATGACTTTTAAAGTTACTTTTAACTCCAATTTTCTATGAGCTTGTAACTTTAATATCACCGCAAAAATTACCCAAACTGCATTTCAAATTATAAAATCATGAGTTTTACATACACCCACATGCACACACAGTGAGACACTTTATGATTTCATTTGTAGGCAAAATGGTATCTGATCATTATGGAAAAATGGTCTGGGACACAAAGCATGTATTCATTTAAATGTCAACAAAAAGTCTGATCATCAAGTTGCCTGGGATTTAAAATTGTGAACAATGAAATTTTATCAATAGGACCTTCTTAAGAATAATCAATTATAACAAATGCGAAACGATAGAGGTATTTATTCAGAAAAGAATCAGTTACACAATCAGTTAAGCTTTATTACACATGAGGTCTTGGAATTTTTCAAAAATTTAGTAATAGCAGAAAGGCATCAGGTATAATATGTAGGAAACTAGGCCCTGAAGACAGAGCCACAATCAGATAAATTTGAGTTCAAGATCTGGCTTATCACCTTACTAGATGGGTAAAATTCATCTCTCTTTCTCATGTTGAGTTGACTATAAAATGGAGGACATTCATAGTGCTTAATTTCATAGGGCTATTGGGGGTATTAAGAAAGAGAATGTATATATCACACTAATCAGTTTGGATTTGGGTACCTTCATTGGGTCCTTCATTCTCCATATATATGTATAGAAAGAGCAAAGATGGAGGGAAAAAGAGAATTCAAGGGAATAGCAAATCATTATTTCAATGATTAAGATAGATAACATTTTCTCCACAGCACCTCTGAAATAGAAAACAGATTCACTGCTGAGTGTTTATGTAGTAAAGTATGTGAAGTCTCATGGAAGAGAGGAATAGGGTAATCCTTGCTTAGCAGACAAATAATGTAAATAGCACAAAGGCATTGCCTGCTCTGAAAGATGTTTCACTTCAGCCAGAGAAATTAAAAAAAAAAAAAAAAACTACTGAAATTCTAGTCCCTGTGTTCAAGGAAGAAGAAAATAATGCAAAGATAAACAAATCCCTAACAGCTCTTTCATGATCTCTCCAAATGAGCTGGTAATATTCTTTAGAATTTACTCAGAAATCAAGACAGTCTTTAAGAAATATTTGAGGGCTTTACATATTCCCATAAAATATGGGACACTGCCTAATAAGGATGTTTTCTTTGTTCAACTATTGACCTGCTAAAGCCAACTCTTTTAATAATAATTGTAATTCAGGGAGTGTACTTTCAGACATTCCCTACCCTATTTTCAGTTTAAATGATCAGTTTATGACATTAGGAGCTCATTTCTAACATGTATCAAAGATTTCATAAGGCTTTTGTTAAAGACTAGAAAATGTATTATTGTAGCTAGTCTGTGCTGCTCAAAGTTCCTTTATAATTAGTGTGAAAGGCAGAAATATGGATACTTTTTTATGCATTGTTCCTGTCTAATTTAAGATGAATGGTCTGCTCCTTCCACACAGTAAACCTTCAATGAATGTTTGAATGAATGAGTGAGTAAACAATTGATGGATAACAAAGAGCACAGTCATCAATTAAGAGTCCAATGAAAGTAAATTTTGGTTGCTCATATAACAAAGAATTGAAATTCTTTTTTATTCCTTTGATTTGGGAATAACAATTTGACAGGCTACCAGAATGATAGATTTTTAAGATTTCCTAACCCTTCTTGGTTAATAACTTGGCATGATTCAACTGGGACCAGTAGTGGTCTTTCTTTTAATACTTTGTGTAATACAAGTGTTGGTCCTTTAAACAAGCTGGTAAAATCAAGTCCTGGCACCTAGCCACATACACAGGGGATTAGGCCTGGAATACATATTACAGGAAGTAAGTGTGATTTAAGCCTTAGAACACTGAGACCACAGGAAGTTAATTGACATGAAAAGCTTTTCTAATTTCATCCTGAGGATTTCTGTGTACTGACAGGTTAAAGCACTATCTGATAGAAGTTAGTTTGTAGGACATTCAAGTAACCTTCTTGAATTCTTTCCTAGAGATTTTTGTGATGATCTTTTTAAAAGCCATTTGATTTGATCCTATAAGCTTTATACTAGAAATCAGCTGTCTTAAAAAATACCTAACTTCCAAAAGAGAGATCTGTTGTCACAAATGAAGATCACGAATTGGCTCAATGAAGAAATAAATATTGGTTTCATCTATAAATAATTAGATTATACCAAATCACAAATACAAAATCAAAAGGTGACATTTTAAATTTGGCTTACTTTACAGACACACAAGAAATAAAACAGACCGACAACTTTAAAGTGGGAGATAGTATTTGTATGATTCACTAAATATGGTACTTTCCACGGTCTAATAAAAAACTATAAACTGAGATCTTCCATGATCTTCCCTCATGTTCTACCCTGGATGAGTATGGTGAGAAGAAGCCTTTGAGAGGGGCTGTACTCTGTTCTGGGCATCAGGAAATATGAGTGTAAACACACATGCATGAATCCAGTTACATACACATAAGGTTTCAAAGTCACAAACACAATTACTTACTTTTTAGGTTTTCTTTGTTATAATCTGAAGGGGAAAGGATAAAAATTTGTTTTAAGTGAGCATACAGATATCTCACATGTGAGAGAGTGCTAAGAAATGCAAGTTCTCTTTCAGCTTTTTAATACACACTGGAAAACATTCTTTGCATTGGATTATGAAAGAATTGGACCTTTGAAATTAAACCAGCTGTTAGGGATAACAACATAGTTCCTTACAAACAAAGTTCATTAAAGCAACATGAAGCAATTCAGTTTTGTTTTGTGAAATCAGCATTTTCAAACATGTGTCTTATTTTAGCATGCTTTCTTGGCTAAGAAAAAGCACTTCATTCCTTTATTTCACTCTTCTGACAAAATCTGAGATGTTTCTTAGCCATTTTTCTGCACATTCCAGAAAATGTTACAAGCTCTCATAAGATTCCCTATGAAAGAATCTAAAAGGTCAAGCAGTAGTTAAAAGTGTTGTTGCACTTATTTTTAGAGCAAATGAAGTAAGTTCTTATGCAAACCTGTGCAATTAGGATAGCATTAGAATTCCACTAGTAGGTATCTAAGGAAGGCAGAACTCAAAAAAAAAAAAAAAAAAAAAAAAATAGAAATGCCCCTAGAAATACTAGAAGCTGTAAGTTCACATCTTAGTTTCTTCAAAATAGTAAATTTCTCTTAAACTCCAAAGTCTTGGGAGAACTCTTTGTTACCTAGATGTGGCAGTCTGGCACAGGCCATGGGATCCCAGTGCATGCTGGGAAGCTTGCTGCATTCTGGCACAGACAGCAAATGCATCTCGGATCTGTAGAGTCCTCTGTGGGTCTTCTCTTCCATTGCCAGCCATTCTTTTGCACAGAAGAGCTCCTTTACTGCCAAGCAGTATTCTCTAAAATATTTTATGGAGAACAAAACTTGATGAATCATAACACATTAAAGCAAATTTGTGGCAGATCCTAAATTCTATGTTTTCAAGACATCATCATAGTACATTGTCTGTTCTTGAAAAAGCATTTATGAAAGAACCTTTTTTTTTTTACTGTAAATAATACAAGACTTCATGAAATCAAGTGTACTGGCCAGTGAGATGAAATGCTAATCTCATTTTGTTGTTAAACACAATGCCAGTCCGGTGAGAAAAATGTCAAATTTAAAATATATTAGATTGGGAATCTCTGATATTTCTTCTCCCAACTTCATATTCAAATAACACAGGTAGATAAATAAGGTATACAGGGTTTAAAAAACACACCTGCTGAAAGTCAGGATAATTGTCAATCAGTTTCCAGCTGGAAGATTTTTCTATAATCTTGGGGCTAATGGGCAGGGCTTAAGTCTGGGGCCCTGTGTGCTTTGTCCTCTGAAACAGGACAGCAACACCTCCCTGGCAGTTTATAGGAGGGCATGTGGGTCCTTACCCAGCCCTTACTTTGACACACAGAATCTTGTTCCATTGCTATGCATGCTTCCATCTGAGAAAGCCCAAGTAATATCTGTCTGAATATGAAGCTGTTACATTCATCTACATGTTGTATTATGAGTGAAGGGGCTGAAGAAACACTAGTTGGATGACTTGGAATTTTGTGGATTAGTATTTCTTCAAGCCTGATAAAAATAGGACAGACTGCATAGGAGAAACCTGATTAATTTCTAATGAAGGTATTTGGGGATAACAATAAGGCAAAATTAAAGATAATTAACTAAATTAAACATAATAATAGCAGATGTCCTTTATTCAGTATCTGAAGGATTCAGAGAGGAGGAACTTGTAAGTGTGTGTATACATGCATAAATGGTGTCTTTTTTCATACTTATTCCCACACTCCTGCTTTCCTAATTTGCCAATATGCACTAATTGAGCATGCGTAGAATAAAAGGCAATGCATATGAATGTGATGACATGCAAATATATTCTTATATGGAGATAACAATGGGATTTATAATTCTTGGTTTGTGTGAGGGAGAAGAGAGTATAATGGGCTTTCAAGACTTCTCATAAGGTAAAGGACCTGAGGAGAGTTGCTTAGCTTGATCCCACCCCTGGGTTGTATAAGCACATTTTTTTTTTTTTGACATGCAGGCAGTGTAAATTGTGCAAAAATCAATATGGGACATATGAAAAAAATTCCATACTTCACATTATGCAGAAGAAGCAAATACCTGGGAATTTTTAAAATCTAAATAGAATAACACATTAATGAATGGCTTTTGATTTGCTTTTTTTTTTTTTCATTGCCATACACTAAAGCATGCCCTCTATAGCAGAGTTTTTCACAAGAAAAAAACAAATCAGGATGAACTACAGACTGAAAAGTGGGATAATTTGAACATGGAAGTAACTACAGAAAATAGAAACCACAAAAAATAACACTTATAATCTTCACTGAAAATAGAAAACAAATGGGACTACAAGAAATAAACAAATTTGAACTAAATATTCAATTGAATGCAGAAAGAAAGGACCTAAATGAATGCAAGAAAGGCTAAACGGATGAAAGTAATGTGTGAAATAACTGATAAGGTAGAGCAAGTAAGAAATCCAAAGTCAAATAATAGTGTTTCTCAGCAAGAAAACCAGAGCACATAAATAACAGAAAATCAAAGATGTGGCATAGGAAATCATTTTTAAGATTAAAAGGACATAATGTTTAGAGAATATTATCCATTATTTTTTATATTATTTCTATTACATGAAAGAAAACAATGAAAATAAATCTGTCACCAAATGAATTTTATAAATATTATGAATTGCAAAGATTAGAGAAATAATCTTTCTACCATCTGGAGAGAGGAAAACGTTCCTTACAAGGGAACAAAAGTCAAGATTGCTTTCTGCTTCCTCTTCATTACAACATGGCCAGAAAATAATGGTCAGAGTCCATAGTGTTTGAGGAGAACTAACACAAGAACTGACACTTGTGTTAACACAGACTTAAATCCCAGTCAAAAACACATATGTAAGATAACAGAATTTTTTTTTACATGTAAAAATCGCCTACTCCAGCTGAGTGAGAGATGAGTAGAGATGAACAAGAAGTGAATTAAAATTAGGAATTTAAGAAAAATATTTTATTTGAAATGAATGACAATGAGTATTAATGATAAGTAACATAGTAAGCTCCTCCAAGTATCTACTTATATATGATTATGAAATCAAATGTAAAAACTAAGAATAATGGTCCAAAAATTGAACATATGCAAATAAAATATAATTGAACAATAAAAATATGGTTTATAATTTCAGATAGAGTTTCAAAGAACAAGTTTGGAAGATTCAGTACAATTATGCCAACTTAATTAGGTCTACCCTGAATACCTTGTTTTTAAAGTTACAACTTAATCCCCTTCCTTTGGTATTCCTGGTCTTCCTTACCCTAGCACTCCTTTTTTCTTTTTCCATGACATTTAACATTTTCTAAACTTATATATAAGTCATTTAATTATTATGTTCATTAATATACCCCAAATGCTCAGTGTAGTACTTGGAGCCCAGAAGGAGATCAATAAATATTTGCTGGACACATACAATTCCACGTCATTCATGAAGAGTCACCTATCGTTGAATGATTGCTTATATTAGGCTGATGTAAAAGTAGTTTCGGTTCTTGCCATTATGTTTAATGGGAAAAAACCCACAATTACTTTTGCAGCAACCTAATAATTAGAAAGCCATGAGTGATAGCATACTTTTAAAAATCCCACAAGCAAGTAGAAGTAGAAAATAAAATGGCTGACAACTTCTGAACTACTTTGACGAATAAAGGCAAACAGAGACTTTTTCAAAAGATATAACAGAAAATGAAGATCAAACTTACCAATTATCAGCACTAAATTCAATTTTAGTTTAATATTTATTGGTGCAAAAAGCAAGAGAGCAGAAAGGATTGAACATAAATATATGAATTTTGTATGTTAATAGAAGAGACTAAATCTTTATAAATGCTAACTTATTATATATCAGATAAAATAAACCTTTAAAATATTAAAATGTAAAAATTTTTAATTATATTTTCTTCAATGGGAATAAGATGTTTGGTGATGAGGATTTTAAAAAATAAAAACATTTTTTCAATAAAACTACTTATTTAAATAACAATGGGAATTAGAAAAAAAATTTAAACATATACTGCAAATGACTTACAGATTTAGGAAATAATGAACTATACTTTTCTAATACATTTAAAATTTCAATGATAGGGATTTTTTCTTTTAAAAAAGTGAATTATTTTCAATCTTAAAAAGAACCACCTGTGGCTCATGCATGTAAACTGATCTGGGACATAAATGTTGGAAAGTTACTCAATAAATGTATTTTGTGTGAGCAACCAAGGTAAAACTTAATTTTAATTCTAGTAAAAATTTCCTAAATTTCAATAAAAAAAGAAGGAGATTCTAATTAAGAAAGAGGTCTGGACTTCCACCAAGATGGCTGAATAGTGACAGCTCCAGAGCACAGTTCGCAGCAAGAGTGATGCAGAAGGCAAGTGATCTCCACATTTCCAACTGAGGTACCAGATTCATCTCAATGAGACTGGTTGGACAGTGGACGTAGCCCAAGGAGGACAAACCGAGGCAGGGTAGGGTGCTGCCTCACCCTGGAAGTGCAGTGGGCCAGAGGACGCCCCTGCAACCCAATGGAGGACATCCAGGACTTTTCCAGCCACTCCAGCACTCCAGTTCAGGTACTGCGCTTCTCTCGTGGTCTTTACAGCCCACAGAGAAGGAGACTCCTGTTGGGCCAACAAGCATTGCAGGTTTCCAGCACAAATATGGGTGGCCAATTCAGCTGATGCCATGGGTTTGCAGCACAAATCTAAGTGGCTGTTTTAGCTGGTGCCTGGAATGCATGAGAGGCAGAGCTGGCCATTCCCCTGAAAAAAAGGGGGCTAAATGCAGGGAGCCAAGTGATTTGGCTCCATGGGTCCCACCCCCACAAAGACCAGCAAACTGAAACCCACTGGCTTGAGAGTTTTGCAGCAAGTGCAGCAGTTTGAGCTCAACCCTGGACAGTCGAGCTTGGTTGGGGGAAAGGTGTCTGCCATTACTGAGGCAGTCCACCATTTCCAAGGCAGTTCTAACCTTACCTGTGTAAACAAAATCGCAGGGAAATTTACACAGCAGCTGGCCAGGGCCCCAGCAGCTCAGCAATGTCTCTGCTGGAAGACTGTGACTAGACTTCCTCCTTGCTGGGCAGGGCATCTCTGAAAAAGGCAGCAGCCCATCAGGGACTTATAAATAAAGCCCCACCTTCTTGGGACAGAGCACCTGGGAAAAGGGACAGTTCTGAGTTCGGCTGCAGCAGACTTAAACATCCTTGCCCAGCAGCTCTGAAGGGGGCAATGGAGCTCCCAGCACAGCATTTGAGCTCTGATAAGGGACAGACTGCCTCCTCAAGTGGCTCCCTGACCCCTGTATATCCAAAGAGATACCTCATACAGGAGAGCTCTGGCTGACATCTGGCAGGTACCCTTCTGGGATGAAGCTATCAGAGGAAGGAACAGGCAGCAATCCTTGCTGTTCCACAGCCCCTGTGGGTGATTCCTAGGAAGCAGGGTCTGGAGTGGACCTCCAGCAGTCCTGCAGCAGAGGGATGTGACTGTTAGAAGGAAAAACTAAAAAAAAAACAGAAATGAATAGTTTCAACATCAATAGAAAGGACGTCCACTCAGAGACCCCATCCGAAAGTCATCAACTTCAAAGACAAAAGGTAGATAAATCCACAAAGATGGGAAGAAACCAATGCAAAAATGAAGAAATCGCCAAAACCCAGAACACCTCTCCTCCTCCAAGGGATCATAACTCCTCACCAGCAAGAGAACAAAATTGGATAGAGAATGAGTTTGATGAATTGACAGAAGCACACTTCAGAAGGTGGTTAATAACAAACTT